GGGGCAACACCCTCGACGAGGATTGACCTGACCGGTCAGGTCTATGGAATTGAATATTTCTATTGTTTTTAAATTAAATTATTAATAAGTGCAATTGTATTTATAATTTATGTAAAATGTAAATAAGTAGAATTTTTGACAAAAAAGGGAAATAAAAAGAAAAGGCGCGGATGCGAAGCGACGAAAGAAATTCTGATTTTATGTATGTATGAAATGAAGCAAAAAATTGTAAAAAAAAAGAGAAAAAAATAAAAAAATTGAAAAAAAAAAACACCATTGCTCTGCACATTGCCGAGCAATCGATTTGGGGCCTCTACAATATAGCAATGACTATAAAAAATAAAACTAAAAATTCAATACTACACAATGTGCGGAGTGTTACTCCGCATAGCGTGCAGAGTCACACAATATAGCAACGACTACAACAAATAAAACTAAAAATTCAACACTCCACAGTATGCGGAGTGTAACTTCGCACAGCGTGCTGAGTAGTTACTCTGCACACTACGGAGTGCTCTCTATACAATGCGGAGACACCAGTCGTGTCTTCGCGCTGTGCGGAGACATGTATTCGCACCAGAATTTTTTTTCCTATTCTTCTTCTTCTTATCATTAATTATTATACTAAAAATGAATCTGAATCATTTTGCCATTCAAACAAATAACTAACATGAAATATGAAGAAAATGTAAGTAATGGACATTTGTAAATAAAATCAGATCCCATCAGATCAAAGCCGCATCAAAATCATTCGTTTTCTATTACACGACTAAAACAAATAAAAATTACATCAAACTTAAGCGATGGAATGTTGTTACATCAAACTTAAGCAAAAGTACCAGAAAAAGAATATTGTTATAGCAAACTTAGTAGCAGAAAGCGAATATTGTTATAGCAAACTTAACTTATTATATAAGAACTTTGGCTTTACTAGGGATACATCACCGTGTACATCAGGGTGTACACACCCCCCCCACATGGGGTGGGGCCCGCTCGAATAAAAAAATATTTTACACAAGTGGGTCCCACCCCCATGTGGGGGTGGAGGGTGTAGACCTTGATATACATCTTTTGATGTACAAGTAGATTTATTCATAAGAACTTACAGTAACGTTGAGGCTAAACTCTCTAACTCTTTGTGTTGCGCCAGAATTCTGGGTTTCATTGGGTTATTTGTAGTGTTCACATAAAGGAGGAGGAGAAACCAAATATTTGTTATTAAGAGTCGGTTTAATAAAAAATGAGAAGTCAACAATTGTGGCTATCTCATTGTAGAAAAATCAGAACAAAATCAGTTAAGTGTGAAATGGAGGGTGTAAAAATGAACAGTGGTTTGGCCATCCTCTCTTTTAATAGAGTAGCAAATCAATGACGTCCTCTTTATGTGACTCTTAAGTATGGATATATAGGCCAACGAGCTTTTAACTGTAGTATGGGACGAGACATGAAAATAGAAGACCGGTCCTACCTGACCCTAAGGCCTATTAAAATTTTGTTCATGACAATTTCACTAGACAATAGACTGCATTCATTTTTTTATATTATACTAATCAAGAGTAGTGATGGCAAAAAAACTCGCCCCGAGGGGGTACCCCGCCCCGAAGCGCCCCGAACCCGCCCCGTGAATAATAAAAAAATAATTAACTATAAATTAAAAACAAAAAATAGTTAATTAGAAGTTTTTGAAAAAAAAAAACATAAACGGGACAGGAAACGGGGGCAAGCTCGCACCCCGAACCCTCCCCACCCCGCCTTAGACGAGGCGAGGCGGGGCGGGGCGGGGGTGCCTCACCCCGAACCCGCCCCGTTGCCATCTCTAATCAAGAGGGTTATTAACACGAAACGTCCTCGCGTTTGAATTTGTACAAAACGTCTTCACATTGTTTTTTTTTTCACCTCTATTTGCACATTTCATTATGGAAATTTCCATCAATTTTCATCCAATTTCTTAATAATGATTACTGCAATGAAATGTACAAATATGGGTAAATGCAAGGTGTTGACATTTTGCACAATAAACTTCAAACATAAGGACATTTTGTGCTAATAACCCTTAGTCAAAATCATATATAAGCACCTATAGTTTACACTTTTTTCAATCGTATTTAAAATATTTATGTTTAGAAAAATACAATTAGTAAAAATACACAACATGATTTGTGTACCAAGTCCGAAAGAAACTGCAGAAATTGAAGCATGAGAACACCATTCATAACTATGTCAAAGAGCTCACAGCTCAACTCTAGTGCTTCAAATTATGAGCAAGCCGAACAATGTGTTATTGTTTTACAAAAGGTTCAAATAATGTGTTTCAAATAAGTGTGGGTATATTTTCAAATATAATTATAATATGTGAAAGTCACGCAATTCGACACTAATAATACCTAAAGGGAGGTGAATATGTATATTATGCGGAATTAAAAATATTACAACAAATTAGCAACAAGTCACCAATTGTTATCTCTAGATGGTTAAACAATCACGTCAGATTAATTCTGTATTTGAATACCGCAAATTGCATAAACAATAAATAGAGTAGCAAATCAACACACGGTATGATAACGGAAAAATCCAATTGGGAAAAACTCCGGGTACTTTGCCAGTTGACAATCCACTATAAACGATTTATAACTTATAGTCTACTAGCCTAGACAACAACACGTACTATCCGATTTTCTGACTACAATTCTAATAGTTTTCCTGAATTATGTGCTCTCATGTAGCAAGNAAGGTTGAAAGAAGGAATATGTAGGAACTCTCTAATGAATCTCTCTCAATGTTCAACCTTAAAATTCACGTTCAGATGTGTTTTGGTATTTATATATAGGGTAGAAAAGTAATAGGTCAGGGAAAAAACCTTTAAATCGTAAAATAAAAATTTTCCGAACAACCCCGTCACTCGGGCAAGAGCTCACGACAATTGAGTGACGGCTGTCGCTCGAGTCAAAGCAGGGCGACAGTCGAGCGTTGAAGATTCTATTTTTTACGCTTGAGCCAATCCATGACGACAGTCTAGCGAAAATTCGTGCCGTATTTTCCTTCTTTTGCCATACTCGAACTCTAGACCTAATAAATATATTTTCACATTACTCCTTGACTTTTTACAATATTTACAGTTAAATCCGTTTTGTTTACAGAATTGCCAATACATAATTAAAACCTAACAATATGATATAAATGCTCATGAAAATTATTATTTTTTAATTATTTTGTTTGAACTTTTGACCTAACGATGACACTTGTATACTTTTCGTAGATACTGTACTCTGGCCATATGATCGTAAAGGGTGTTATGATTTTGATTAATAAACTTTGTTTTTGTTTGGAAGAGATTATTTAAAGTGAAAAATATATTTTTTTAAATTATGTAAAAGAATAAGAGAAAATGATAGATTCACATACAATTTTATCAACAATTATTGTCTCAAAGCGATGACAACACATGAAAACATTAGAAGACAAATTAACAAACAATTTTTGAGTAAATAGTATTTATGAAAGAAATCCCATAAAACCCTCATAATTTATTAGTAAAACCTCGCTCATAGAGAGAGGTGAATAGCCAAGAACTTGTCCTTTGCAATTGCCCAAAGGATCATCACTCATCAGCCCATTTTAATAAGAAAACCCATTTCTGAAACTATATAAAATCCAATCACTTCTCTCCCCTCTAGGCCTTCTCCAGATTACATTTATTCAAAGTCAAAGATACGCCAATCGTTTAGTTTGAAGCTATATTTGATCCGATCATGGCTCAATGCATTTTCTCTCAGGTCAACTTAATCTCTTATATGTTGAATTTATGTTTGTTTCTTTTTAGATTTCGTGAGTGTGAAGTGGGTTTAATGAAACAAAAACTTGAATTTTGTTGCAGGTCCCAGTTGGGGTCCCTATCAGTAGCGATTCATCCTTCCGGAGATCAGTACTTAAGGTTTTTAATTAGTCTTTAGTTATAGTTGAATTTATAATATTTTGCATGCCAAATCTCGTAGCTTTTGTTTTGCTCAAATGATTCAGATGTGATCTGATATTGAGGTGCAATTGATAAAATATTGATGTAGTAACTTGTACTATAAAGCTTGTACCTAGCTGACGTAGGATAAACACTGCTGTTTTGCTATTGGTTTCATTTGTGCTCGATTAGGTCTGAACTCGAATCTCTTTAAAGGGTTTAGAGTAGAGATTTCCAATTGCTATAATTTGTCCATTCTATTAAAATCTCTTATGGTCTTGTAACCACTATTTAATGGATATAAAGATTTAGGCCTCCAATTTATTCCATACCAATAGCTGCACTTAACAGCATATTTGGCTAAGCTTAAAAGGGGCTTAAAATCACCCATTTTGGATAGTATGCTTCATTCTCCCGTTCTTTTTCATTTATACTTCACTTTCATACATTTTCTGCTCTCAGACATTTCATACAATAGAAACTGTTTATGGATCAGATAAACACATCCTTCGCTTTGTTTATCCTTTCATATTGCATACCTATCCCTTGTTTGGGCTCAATTTTTCAAAAAATACATTTTTATAAAACTCATTTTCAATCACACATTTCCAATAAAATAATGTTGCACACAAACTAAATTTTTTCCTCATTTTAACTACACATTCTTCAAAAAATAACTATTCCAAAATATATTTTCCCCTAGTCTGCATTGACCTCAATTTTTGTAGGGGTGACGTTAACAGATCCCCGTTCCTCTCAGCCACATAGCCTCTTCCTGTACGTTTGGAAAAATTGTCACGTGACTTTTACCGGTGGTGGAGGACGTAGTCACGAGCACTCCAACAGTCAAGTCAGTTTATTTGTAAGTGAATATTTAGGTGTGAGACAGACTAGAGACGTGAGCCACCAAGAAAAAAGGTTGTTGAATCCGGGAGTAGAGAGAATGATATGAGAGCAATTTATAGTTCACTGTATAAGATTTTAATTACTTTCAAATGGTACTAAATATGAGTTTTTATAATAGAAGAACTGAAGAAGAAAAATACTGACCGTTGGATGGAAAGACACGTGGCTTTATCTTGATGGCCGAGGTGTTTCCTCCTAGGTATCAATCCGTCAATCATAGGCTGATTGGCATCTAATGCTTTTTAAAAAGTGGTCATCCTAGAGTTTAAGTCTAACCTCTGAAATATAGACTGGCGATTAGACTTTTAGTTGCTTCCTGCAGAACATCAATCAATTGTAAGAAGATCTTATACAAAAGATTTCTTGGAAGAGGTGAAGTAGGAGATGCCTTTTATCAGTCAAAGAGCCTAATCACTTCAGATTCACTGCCTGGAGCATGCGTAACTCCTGACCTGGCCATGGAGGGCCGGGCCAGTCTCTTCCTGGAACTTTAGTGAAAGTGATGCATCACCTTGGCTGCCATATATATATGGCCTCATCTCAGCCAGGTAGGAAGGTGATGTGGAGTATTGGCCTAGTTAGTTTGCTAGCTGGTTGTTACGTGGCGTCGTGGCGATGTGCTGAAGCCTCGTCATAAGGGGTGAAACAATAGTCCGCCAAATTCATGTATGAACATCTATAAGCTAAACAACACAAAACCCCCCACCTTTAGGAAATAGCACAAAACGTCTCTGTTTGAAACGTTTAGTGTGGAATACCCACTGTCGTTCATTTTCTCGATAAAAAATTATGAAATAACAAATATACCTCCTTATTAAATAAGACAAAAAGGAAAGAATAGAAAAATAAAAAACTAATTACAATCACAATCCCAAAATGTTTTTAAAAAGTACAAACGAGCCCAAATAAATTAGAGATAATTCTTCTTCCCTAACCTACCTCGTACCCCATCCCACCCCACACCCCAAAAAACCAAACCCACCTTGATCTTCCTCTTTCTCTCCCACCATCATGGCCGTCGCAACGGTAGGTCCACAACAAGTTGAATTCCTTGGAAAAAGGAAAAACCCAAAGTGAATAGCAAAATCAACGAAAATTAATTGGACAAAGAAAAATAAGAAATTGGATATCTGCACATAAGATCATTCACAGAAGAAGAAAAATTTCTTGAAAACCCACATTACAAATTGGGAAAACAAATCCATTAATTGAATCAATCGCAACACTAGAGTTGACTTTAGAATCCTAGCATGGGAGACGGCGACGACTTCTTCTTTGCCTTTGAAGATGCGGTTGCAATACTGGTGGTGGGATTTTTCTTGCAGGTAGCAACAGCAGGATGGGGAGTGGTTGCGACATATTTGGAGGCGTAAAACAAGGCTCGGCATCCTCGAAAAAACCTAGATGGAGTTGTCATTGGATTTTTGCTTGGTTTTGGGAATTGTTAGGAAATTAATGAATTGGATCAATCCATTTTGTACGCTGTGAAAACAAGTTATTAGCAAATTGAACACCCATGTGTTGCAAACAGAAGAAACCTTGAAGAAAAGCAGGGAGTTTTTATTCATGAAATTGTGCAATTTCATGGGATTGAATCGGAGGATTTGAAGAATAAATAGGAAAGAATGAATGAAGAGGAAAAATGGGTTTTGTCTAAAGGGTTTGTTACAGAGTGGAGTGCTCTTTTTCATCCATTATCTGCCAAATCTGTTAAAGAAATGGTTGGTGAGCATTTGGTTGAAGAAAAGTCTCCTTCAGTGGTGGCTTCCAACAAATTCTTCACCAATTTCGGAAAATTGATGAGTTTTCCCTAAATTGATGAGAAAGGAGGGAGATGACAGCGGTGGCGGAGAGGAGAAGGAAGAGGAAGAATGGTTGTGGATGTAGAGCGACTAAGCTGCGGTGGCAGTGGCTGTGAATGGTAGCGGTGGGAGAGATAGGAGGAAGAAAAATGATTTTTGGTTTTTTAGTTTTGATTTTAATTATTTGTTTGGGTCTCGTTTGTACTTTTTAAAACATTTTTGGACTATATTGTAATTAGTTTATTATTTTTCTCTTCTTTTTGTTTTATTTAATTGGGAGGGTATATTCATTATTTCATAAATTTTTATTGAGAAAATGGACGATAGGGGGTATTCCACACTAAACATTTCAAACAGGGACATTTTATGCTATTTCCAAAAGGTATGGGGTTTTTCGGCAGTTTGCCCAATAGATAGGGGGTTTTGTGTTGTTTAGCTGATATTTATATAATGCGTGGACTTTCAGTGTAGGGTGGAAGTGAATTCATTGTCGAGGTGATGCGGTTGATGGGGTGATAGTTGTGCATTTGAACACAATGCAGTTTGTATAAGATGGAAGCCTTATTTTGTATTGTCCACCCTATTTCTTGATTTTTTTTTTTATGACCATTCTTCTACAGCAGCTGAACTGGCTGTTTTTTTGCTGCTCTTGAAATTATTCTAATGATGTTATTTGGAACAAATTTTCTAGTTCCTATTAATCTTCAAAGTACTTTTGTTGCCCATTCAACTTTGACGTAAGAACTGCACATTGTTTCAATTATGAAACACGCATTTGATACAATTCCAATCTTGGTTATGCGTTTAGAAGGCTTTGGAGAAAAATTGCATTAATTGAGTCCATCTGTGCATGATGAAACCATAAAAATGATTTAGATTCTTAAACCATAAACATGATTTACCTCTTTCCTTTCCTTATCTTAAACATAACTTGGATCTTTTTTTGCATCTTCATTATCACATCCTATCCATCTTTCTCCATGGTTTTCAGTGAAACTTCTGATGTTTAGATACCAATAATCTTTCGTTGTTTTGGTTGTACACTGCTCATTGCAATGTTGGGACCTGCAAATATGAGAAAACTATAGTTATAAACACTAATGGCATCTCATTTTATTGCAGACAAATAATGTGACTTTTCATGATAAATCATGGACTTCTGGCATACCTTTTAACTTGAGAAGTGAAAATGCACGATCGAGAAGTCGATTTGTGGTTTGCATGTCAGTACAGCAAGCCAGTAAACCTAAGGTTGCTGTTTCACCCGTAACACTAGAAGATGCGAAAGAGCCTCCACTACACTTGTACAAAAACAAGGAACCATATACAGCGACCATTGTGTCTGTTGAAAGGCTTGTTGGTCCAATGGCTCCTGGAGAGACATGTCATATTGTCATTGATCATGGTGGCAATGTTCCTTATTGGGAAGGACAGAGTTATGGGATCATTCCTCCTGTAAGTTCAAAGAATTTCCATTTGTTTGTACTTTACGCACGAAGTTGTGTGAACTTCAAAGTTCCCATTAAAATTGCCTGTCTCATCCAACCTATTCCTTTGAGAAACTCTTGGGGTTAACTTATGCTGGAATATGGTGGAACCTTCTTGTACAATATTTGCACTTAGTTGTAATGTGGTTTGGCTTTGTTCTAGTCATACCCATGTCATATCATTATGCAGTATGTTCCCCCACTTCACCATGTTTTAAATTTACTACTATTTTATTTCAGGGTGAGAACCCTAAAAAGCCTGGTAGTCCCCAGAATGTTCGTCTATATTCAATCGCATCTTCCAGGTATGGCGACAATTTTGATGGTAAGACAGCGAGTTTGTGTGTCCGACGCGCTGTCTATTATGATCCTGAGACAGGAAAAGAAGACCCCTCAAAAAATGGAGTATGCAGCAACTTTTTATGTGATTCAAAGCCTGGAGACAAAATTCAGCTCACAGGTAAGATTTTAATGATTCTAGTGAAGGCAATAAGGAATTAGGATATTTGATTTCATGAGTTTTTGAGCGATGAAGTTATATAAAGAAATCAATAGCCATCTCCCTTGATATGAAATTAGCCAATGTTCTTCGGAACCTATTTATTTTTATTTGATAATTTTGTCTCATTAAAACATTTCTTTCTCCGAGTAGGAGGTCTGAGCTCTTTGATATGCTCTATTCTTTGATTCGTATTTTCCATGTACCATCAAACTGTTCGCACGAGCAAGTTTGGTGATTAAGAATTGTGAATCAGTAATAAATTCAGATCTATGTTGCGGATGTTTTTCTTTCTTTGTGCATTTGGAAGGCAAATGTTTTAATAAAATTATTGGCTTCTGTCTTACCCCAAATCCATTCTCAGCTGGCAATCTGATTTTTCAAATTTGAAATAAAGTGTAATTACCCCATATATCCATTGTGTCCTAAAGAATTTCATATTAGCTTGTACTGAGCAGAGTGCTTACTTTGTGATCCTCTCATCTTAGTTCAGGTCACTTCCAGTTTTATCTTGTAATCTGTAGGCATTATACAAATCACAGTGTTGGGAATGATCTTAGTTGAGTTGACTAATTTGGTTCTGTTACATTTTTATGAGGTTCTTGTCTCTGTGTTGTTAACATTGTGCGACTTCGGCAGGGCCTTCTGGCAAGATAATGCTTCTGCCTGAGGATGATCCAAATGCCACCCACATTATGATTGCCACTGGTACTGGTGTGGCTCCCTACAGAGGGTATCTTCGCCGTATGTTCATGGAGGACGTTCCCACATTCAAATTCGGGGGCCTCGCTTGGCTTTTCCTTGGGGTTGCTAACAGTGACAGCCTTCTTTACGACGACGAGTTCTCCAAGTATCTTCAGGACTACCCGGATCATTTCCGATATGACTGTGCTCTTAGTCGAGAACAGAGGAACAAAAGTGGAGGCAAGATGTATGTTCAGGATAAGATTGAAGAGTACAGTGACGAGATCTTTAAACTTCTGGATGGCGGAGCACACATTTATTTTTGTGGGCTTAAAGGGATGATGCCGGGAATTCAGGAAACGCTCAAGAGGGTTTCAGAGGAGAGGGGGGAGAGCTGGGACGAGAAACTCTCTCAACTGAAAAAGAACAAACAGTGGCACGTCGAAGTCTATTGATGCTGCTCAAGTTGTAGCTGATTGTTATCAATATATCATGGGAAAGGAGGATTCTTCTTGCTACATGATGTTGGTATTTGTTTGTTAAATTGAGAGACCTACGTGAAGTCGAACTTCACTAGCACTTCTATATTCATGTGTATCATTTGCGGATGAAGAAAACTTGTTTTGTGCTTCAAAATGAATGTCCAAGAAATCTCTCGATAATATCTTGACAAAATTCTGCACTCTGGATCTTTTGTCTATGCAAATTGCAATACATATGCATGTGATTGTCTGAATAAATGTTGGCAACTTTGTTGGTCATTGGCTAAATTTCAAGTTAATTACAAAGAAATTGAGTGGCCGCGTTGGGGGAAAGAATGAAAAGTGACATTTCTAAATTAACATTAGGCAAATGTATGGAGATATATTTTGACCAACAAACATAATTATTTATTTCAGAGCGAACTTATTTACTTAATTTAAGCTTAACAAAACGTGCACCATCATACACAAATTACACAGAAATTAATCACTACACATAATTAATTAACTTATTTCTACTTATAATCAACAACAGCATTAGGCTCAGAAGTGGGAACTGACGTGGTTAAGAATTTTGTGGAAATTATACAGAGTTTTCAAGATTCAATTTCAAATTTCAGATATTAGGTCTTACTTTTCAAAAATCAGATATTTTATGTTTAAATATTAAATATTAATTATACAATTTTCATTCTAAACCCCAATCAATTTCATTCCAAATTGGCAAACATTTTCCTCCTCTTCTCTCGCCTCTCCGTCTTCTCTCCTCTCACTCTCTTCTCTCCGTCTTCTCACTCTCTCTGTTACCATTGGAGGCAACACAAAAAACGCCGCCTTCGCAACCATAGCAACGAGCGATGGCGTCATCCCCCGTATTCTCTATCCTCACTCCTCTCATTCACGGCGCAGCAGAAACACAGAGCAGCAGCACCGCTGAATGCTTGCGGTGGTGTGTGTTGTGATGATTCTAGTGGTGGTGGTGGTGCGATTAGTGGAGGTTGGGTGCAACAGGGATTTTTTTGGGTGTTGGGTTTCTTCCACTGATCTGCTTCAACGGAGCTTTGGGGGTTTCGCCAGTGTTTTTTGTGGTTTTGAGTGGTAGCGATGCCGGCCTTTTTGTGAGGTGGTAGCAGTGCCGACGTGGTGTTGAAGTTGTTGGCGAGTCCACCTCGTCACCACAACCACCAACTAAACCACCAGTGTGGGGGTGGGGGTTCCGGCGACGAGTTAGGGACTTTTTTGGGTTGTAGGGGTGAGGGTTTCGGCGACGAGGGTTCGGTTGTCATTTGTTGGTGACGGTGGTGAGGTGATGGTCACAAGTGTTACTGTGTTAGTGGTGGTCACAAACTATTTGGTCGTTTGTGACCATTAAATTTATAATTTGTGATCGATAAATAATATGTGACCAATGAAAAATATAAATTGTGATCAAGAAATAATGCGTAACTTAAAAAATTGTTAATTTGTAATTGATAATTTGACAATTTGTGACTGTCTACTAAGTTGTGACTTATAATATTTGTGATTTGTGACCGATGAAAAAGTTGTGTGACGTATAAATTTTTTTATTTTTTATTGATGAATAAATTGTGACTTATAAAAATTTCTGAATTTTAACCATAAAATAATTTGTGACTTATAAATTTTTTTATTTTTGACCGATGAACATATTGTGACCTATAAAAGTTTTGAATTGTGACATGTAAAATTTGTGATTTGTGATCAATTAATAATATGTGACCAATTATATAGAAAAACACTAGTTTAATATACCTTAACGCTGGAATTATATAAATTAATTATTTTATATACAAATTAATTATAATTAATTTATAAATAAAATTTTTAAAAATCCGAGATTTGAAATTTTAAGCCTTAAAAAATCTGAAATTTTAAAATTTAAATCTTATCTTAAATTTGAAATGTGTGAAATTTAATCTCTTAGTTATGAAATTTTTCCAAGAATCTTTCCGCTTTTGCTTTCGAAGTCGAAAGAGAGAGAAAATCCCGGAGACAACCAGCAAAACTACACTAATTAGTCCACAGAAAAAGCTGGCTACAAGCAATGTCGTTATCTCGTGATCCCGGTGCATGTCACGTGAACTCCCACTCTCGTGACTCCTCCACCGTGTTGTTATCGGATCGACGGTCATATTCTTGGCCTCCGGCAGTGTCTTCGACGACTACTTTGCACCGAAGAATGAGAACATTTCTTGTGTACTTCTCCCTTTTTGTCAGTGATGGAGAATCTTGATAGACTAGGCAATGGTCCGATGGCCAGAAATCCCTTGTGTCCAATTGGTTGATCATTGTCAAGATCGTGATGAACGTCACGACCTCGTATTGCTGCCAGTAGAAACTATGCTCCATTTCACAACTCTCTCTCTCTAAATATATCTTGTGCGTTTCTCTCCCTAGAGATCTCGTGTCTGTACTTCAAGAGAGAATTAGCTTGTTGATGTACGTGCTTGTTAAATTCTATCAAAATTTATTAAAATTTTAATTTGAATTTTTCATGACTAAATGAAAGAATGAAGAAAAGGGTTGAAAGAAAAATTCGCGATTTTTTTTTATAACTGGGCAGCCCCCATTTATATTGGTCGGGCGACCGCTTCAACTTTTACTCAAATGTATATTAGTCATCAAACCTCCATCCATTGGCCAATTGGTCCTTGAAATAAAAGGTTAACGAATCTTTCGAGTCAATTTTTATGTCTGGGCGCCCGCCTAGGCCAAGTTGGGAAAAAATTTTGTTTCTTTCAGAATTCAATTCCAACAAGAAAACTTCCGTTTGAGCCATGATATGCATGATTTTTGGAGTTTTTTTGGGACTCTTTAGAGGGATATAAATACCAACTCTCAGAAAATAGTTAGGGTGTGGAGAATTAATTGCAAAAGGAGGCAAAGAACACGTCAAGATCAAATCCAAAAAGTTCAAGATTGAATTCAAGAATTTTTTTTATGATGAACAACATTTATATCTTTTGCTTTATTCTTCAGTAAATGTTAGGCTAAATTTCTGTATGCTAAAAGAATGATTAACCATGTAATATGAGTTTTTAATTTTTAGTTTTATATATTTGACATTAAAAACACGTTTTTGATATTCAATGATTTATATGATTTTATTTTCTCCACAATTATTGTGCACGATAGTTATGTGAATGAGGTGACTTATTTTATGCATTCGAAAGAAGAAAAATATGTTCGAAAGAAGAAAAATATGTTCGACATATATAAATTGCCATAGGGTTCGATATGAGATAGAAATATACCGCTACACTCTATGTGAATCTTTAAGTGTTCATAAAAATTCATACATTTTTATATGTTCGCATCCATCATAAAAATATAGTTGAGTCATATATAAAAGTAGATTTAACATTACTCGAGAGAGATTGTTAAATAAAATATGAATATTGATTTATCAAAATTCAACCGTGTTGTCAATGTGTAAAATTAGGGTTAAAACTGATTATTACATGAGAATTTGGGATCCTAGTACATTTGTTATTTATTGAACACATTAATTTTCATTTAGAATAATTTGCATTTAGTTTAGTTAATTCACTCATAATTGCATAGGTAGATTACTTTAGATATACTTTAGTCACAAATACATAATATTATTCTAGTTTCGGTTAAAGTCGCGATAATTAAAATTGAACTAATAAGTCTTCGTTGGACGATACTCGGACTAAAAAATTTCACTTTATTACTTGTTAACGAATCGTACACTCACGGTGATTTTGATTCGAAATATATTTTCGTGAACAAGTTTTTGGCGCCGTTGTCGAGGTTGAGTTTTAGTTTGATTTTATTTTCCTTGGCACTAGTTCGTACTTCGACCTGTATTCTTGTATTGTTATTTTTATTCCATTTTAGTTTTTTTCCTCTATTTTTTAGGATATATAAAAGAAAAAAATAGCAGGATAAAAGATGACTATGGTTGATTTCAACAAAATGCTTGTATGTGATTTTATCATAAGGCAACAATAATTGGTAGCTCAAGAAATTGACGATGGAGATATGCTTGTTGGAGATTTCATTATAGGACAACAACTATATGATATAAAAGCAGATTGTGAACTTGATGAAACTGTCATGAGTGACTTACCCGTTGCATTATTTCTTTCACCACAATTTGATGCGAGTGATTTGCCTATGGGATTATTTCTTCCACCGGTCAATCAGACTTCTTACACATACAACAAGAGGAGAAAACTCTCCATGAAGATGTCGTTATTTCTTTGCCAAAAGTTTTGAACACGAACGTTGAACTCGAAAAAACTTCAATTGAAGAAGAGGAGCATGAATAGATCGAAAAATTAATCATAACGGGCAAAAAAGAACTTATAGCATTCAAAGAAGAGGAAATCCTCGACTTCATTGTTTGCTAAAAAATGGAGTTTGTGATGAAACCTTATGAGGAGATTGGGGTGTTTATTGTTGAGTTCGAAACGGATGATGAGGGAAAGTCATACTACTTGGAGAAGGACAAGATTAAAATTTGGAAGAAAGTTGCAATATGGAATAAAGTCAAATCAAGCAAACTAAGCAGGACCTCCAAAGCCATATTCAAAGTGCCATGATACACTTGTGCAAAAGTCGAGGTTGAGACTATAAATAGAGCTCTTAATGGGAGGCAACCCATTTTTCTGTCACTTTCTCCTTATTTTTATTAACTATTGCATTACAAGTAGTTTTAAAGATTGCATTAACTTAGAAATTTATGCATTTAAACGGTTTTTAAACACATTTTAGGCAGTACTTTAAGATTTGTATTAGTAATTTAGGCATGTTTACTTAAATGAGTTCATTTTATTTAGGCTCATCATTAACATTCTAGCATTATGTTAAGCTTACATTGATGTGATATACATTTTTAAGGTTGAACCTAGATTTCAATCTTTTTGATGTTAGAAGATTAGAATTTTTTGGGGGTGTGAATACATTACAAATATTTAAACCTT